AAGGCTGACACGATAGAAATTCACATTCAGTGACTTTATAAAAGCATTTAATTCATTTCTGAATATGTTAAAACATGGAAAGAAATAAAACCCTAAATATCTGTGTTAATTTGAGGACAGATTCCTAAGAGAAGGTCTAAAATTATCTTCTTTCTTCATATTTAGCGTTTCTCAAGTTTTTTCTAGGGTTACATATATTTTTTTTTCCCCCATGATTATATATGTTTTCTACGACAAGAGCAATTAGAGAATAAAATTATGTTTTAAAATTTACTTTCCCAATACCATGTGGGCTAAACTCAACATGATTTTATTTTACTTCCTTCATCAAGATTTCTCAATTTACTAATTCTTCAAATTTTCTCTAAAATGTTACTTTCAGCTAAGTACTATTATTAGCAGAGGCTCTGACGCCAGACTGGAAGCACTAAGCCTCCACCCTACCCCTTATGAGCTGTGTAAACCCTCATGCCTCAAGATCATTATCTGTAAAAGTCACAGCTTGCTGAGATTAAATGAAACAAATGTGAAATGTTTAGAACAGTGCTTTGCACAGAATAAGTGCTTAAATTCAACAAGCCTTCTCATTTTATTCTCCTTGGGACTTGAGTCTAGATCTGTCCTTCTAGGCCCTCTGTTCAGCTCCACATTGCTATGAAGACAAGGTCGATGGGTATGTAAAACCTTCCAACAAGTTTATGTGACGTTATGTAATAGTCATTCTGGAAGTTTGTTTCTCGCCAGTTGTTTTCGCATTTTGTAACTTCCTGTAGCCAGTGTTATAAATTTCAGTTCCACGCTGGAGAATGTAGAAATAAATGATCACTAAATACATTATAGATATATCCCAAGATATAACCTGTATTCTGGAAAAGATAGACAGAGCCTTCTTTTTTTCTTAAATAGAGATGGGGTCTTGCTATGCTGCCCAGGTTGGTCTTGAATTCCTGGGCTGAAGTGATCCTCCATCTTGGCCTCTCAAATATATCCTCTTGGGATGTAGGCCTTTATCACTAACTGTCTACTGTCATCTGAGAATGATGATGACACCCGCATTTTACATAGATTTTAGAGATCTGAAAAAAACTTCCAAGAGGTTTTTTTATCACCATCCATACCCTAGTTTGATTAAGGCAACAGCTTGCTTGCTAAGTGTTCTTGTTAACACTTCTCTCTCTTCTATCAAAGCTTTCTCAGGAGGATATTTGGTTGAAGCTGTGAATGTTGCAGGAGCTACAGAGTCACCAGCACAAGGGATAGAGGTCACACATTCCAGCCACCAACAATAACCAAATTGTTCCTGCAAACTGAGTGACAAATGTAATGGTATAGCATAAAGTTTGTGAGTTATCTGCTACTTGTCCTCAAGCCGGCTTTCTAAAGTTCAGCACTCATGCTGTTTTGCAGAAACAAGTTCACAAATATGGAGGCTCTTAGCATTTGCCATTTGTGTTATGCTCACATGACAGATTATCTAATAAATGTGTATTTTTCTCCTTCCCGTTCATGCTTTCAGGACTGCATTCCCTCCCTTATATTCTCCCTAAATTGGACTTCACATTCTAAACCGTCAATAATTCTATATTAATCTTTTCTTTTTTTTGAGATGGAGTCTTACTTTGTCACCCAGGCTGGAGTGAAGTGGCGTGATCTCAGCTCACTGCAACCTTTGTCTCCCGGATTCAAGCGATTCTCCTGCCTCAGCCTCCTGAGTAACTGGGACAACAGGCGTGCACCACCATGCCTGGCTAATTTTTTATATTTTTAGTAGGGTCGAGGTTTCACCATATTGGCCAGGCTGGTTTTGAACTCCTGACATGATTCGCCTGCCTCGGGCTCCCAAAGTGCTAGGATTACAGGCGTGAGCCACCATGCCCTGCTCAATAATTCTATGTTAATCTTAAATAGTTCTGATCACAATCCAATGCTAGTCAATGAATATCCTTTTCCTTTTTGCATAGGTGAAGGTAGGAGCTCTTGCAGAATATAAACATTGCTTACAAAGATGATGAGGTCATATATAGGAAGCAACCAAGTAGCTACTCCTGTTTCCTCCATGAAACTTGTGCTCATAGCAAAAGCCACCACCACCTTTCACAAATAATTACTTCCCTCTGGGTTTCCCTTGATATTGAAAAAAGAAGTTACAGCAACTATGGCATGAAGAACATTGACTTTCCCTTAGAGGGTAGGAGATTCCCTTTTATTTCAAACCCATAGCTTAGAAGTAGTGATCAGTGAAGCAATCTCAGACTAGCGAAGCAATTTCCAGAAGTCCTAGGTTGTGATAAAAACCACAAGCCTCAATATTATTAAAAACACAGGGAGGGTCCTCTTTCTTGATCTCTACTGTTCAAGTACTTTTATTTCAAGCCTCTAAAAATATATTTGACTGAAATAATTCAATTTCATTTTCTCACCAGTGACAATTTCAATTCATGTTTGTTTTCAAAGGTAATAGGATATTGGTGGAGAAAATTTCTTGTGCTTGCTCTGTGTTCAAAGATTAAATAAGTTAAGGGAAAAATAATCGGAATCTATCAAGTTACAAGGAAATAAGGAACAGAACAACTCCAAAGGGCCAAGGATAAAAAGTTTT